AAAAAAATATTCCGAAAATAACAATCATTTTGGCCTGGTTTGCACATGGTGCAAATCCGGGTTATAATATAGCGGGCGGGGAAAAGGGATATCAGTTTTGTAGAATCAACTCCTCCTAGAGTTTTTAACGTATAAGCTTGAAACTCTGTAGGATGTATATATATATATATATATATATGTTGGAGATGTGCACCTATTTATTAAGGATTCATTCCGGACGTTTTTTCTTGATTTTCCGAGCTTTGGAACTTAAGTTATTTTCAACAGTCTGGCGTGGAAAATCCAAGATGGCAGCCTTTGCCTCTCATTGGTTGAGATGTTGTTTTTTTTAGCACGATATATAACATTGCACTCATCCCGCAATCCGGCCAATTGTGGCTTTGCCCAATTTTTTATATTGGTTAAATAAGGGCATTTTTTTAAAACTTTATTTTCTTTTTCAAACTTAACGGGAGTATCGTTTGTTATTTTTGTTGTAAAACCCTGATAAATGTATATCCATATATGTGTGAAAAACATCCGAGACACAGGGCCCGATATAAGCAGACAGGAAAGGAGGACTGTATTGCATCATCGTATTTACAGTGTTATATCTAGGCAATATCACTTTGGTTGGTGTCGTCGATGAAGCTTCGGACGCTTACCCTTTCGGCACATCAGTCGTTTTTTTATGTTTTCTGATTGCAGTTAAATTATGATTTTGTCTTAATGTAATATTGGCTTCAAATAAACGATAACGAATACATCACGAAGCTGGATATAAGGCTTAAGGAAAATTTCTGATTGAATAATCCATGGGGAAAACAACATTTAATCTTCACTGTACTTTTTTGTATTTTCCTTAGAATCATTGTTTTTCGTGTACTTGTTGTTCTTGATGAAATTGTAAGATATATGAAAATTACGGAAAATATTGAATTATGTGAAAAGTACACTTCCACATCTATTTTCTGACTTTTCTTTCGGTCACTTTCCTCAGTCACGTCAGAGGGTACAAAATTTAGGCCCTCAGCATCACTGATGAGTCCCAGATGCACAAAACTGTTGTATGATGCTGTTTAATTCATGATTTGACTGTACTGTAACGGTGTCTAATTGTAAATTTAGATTAAAAGATGATTCTTCTTACTAATAAGAATGAATGGAAAACGTTTCTGATTTTTAGAAAGAATTGAAAACCAATATGGCAATGCTTAAAGCGGTAACATGTTATTGTTTGTCACCCTAGTGACACTGTGATAACTTTCCTATAACACACGTTATAGTTTGTCACCCTAGTGACACTGTGATAACTTTCCTTTAACACAAGTTATAGTTTGTCACCCTAGTGACACTGTGATAACTTGCCTATAACACACGTTGTAGTTTGTCACCCTAATGACACTATGATAACTTTCCTATAACACACGTTATAGTTTATCACCCTAGTGACACTGTGATAACTTTCCTATGACACACGTTATAGTTTGTCACCCTAGTGATACTGTGATAACTTTCCTATAACACACGTTATAGTTTGTCACCCTAGTGACACTGTGATAACTTGCCTATAACACACGTTGTAGTTTGTCACCCTAATGACACTATGATAACTTTCCTATAACACACGTTATAGTTTATCACCCTAGTGACACTGTGATAACTTTCCTATGACACACGTTATAGTTTGTCACCCTAGTGATACTGTGATAACTTTCCTATAACACACGTTATAGTTTGTCACCCTAGTGACACTGTGATAACTTTCCTATAACACACGTTATAGTTTGTCACCCTAGTGACACTGTGATAACTTTCCTAAAACACACGTTATAGTTTGTCACCCTAGTGACACTGTGATAACTTTCCTATAACACACGTTATAGTTTGTCACCCTAGTGACACTATGATAACTTTCCTATAACACACGTTATAGTTTGTCACCCTAGTGACACTGTGATAACTTTCCTATAACACACGTTGTAGTTTGTCACCCTAGTGACACTGTGATAACTTTCCTATAACACACGTTATAGTTTGTCACCCTAGTGACACTGTGATAACTTTCCTTTAACACAAGTTATAGTTTGTCACCCTAGTGACACTGTGATAACTTGCCTATAACACACGTTATAGTTTGTCACCCTAGTGACACTGTGATAACTTGCCTATAACTCACGTTGTAGTTTGTCACCCTAATGTCACTATGATAACTTTCCTATGACACACGTTATAGTTTGTCACCCTAGTGACATTATGATAACTTTCCTATAACACACGTTATAGTTTGTCACCCTAGTGACACTGTGATAACTTTCCTATAACACACGTTATAGTTTGTCACCCTAGTGACACTGTGATAACTTTCAATTTGTTTATTTTATACTCTCGCTTTAACAATTTTGGGTTTGGACTACTTTGTCCGTATGTCAGTATTCTCCCGACTTATATTGCCGTATTGTTGCCACCAATCCTCCCCAAAACGAATGCCAACACCGTGAAGAATCTCCTATAGGAACAGGTACTCCATCATGTATTGTAGTGAGGCTGTTGACATCAAAAGGAACAAAGACAAATCACGTGACCCTATCAGATTTAACCTAGGGATCAAACGATTTCGTTCGTGAAACTGATTAAAATTCCTTTGAAGATGTTCGTTTGGGATTTTTTTTGTGTATTTTTTAACACCGATGCGTTGGTACTCCAGAACCACGTAATAGATTGCGAGAGAGTGATTGATGGTGAAAGGGATGGAAGTGGCAGCCATTCTACACAATCAGAATTCACATGTTGTTTCGATAGTCCTGTTTTAGATCATCGAGGCAAATGTGATGTAATATCGGAACATTTTGTGGGTCGTCCCTCTCCTCATCTATTTATGCTTCACGTGTTTTTTTTTAATCATAGTATCGATCTTTAAGAGAACAATATGATTTTTTTTCATGCATTTGTTATCCAAAGTGCACAACATCATGATCGACATCACAGAACGGTCCAAAACATGTTATAATGAATGTTTTCTTGTTTTGGAAATAATTTGTTTCAATCAATATTTGCGAACACCACGAAAATACCAACACGTAAACAGAATCATAATCACATTCAATAAAAGTGGTAAGTAATGTGAACAAAAGTAGCATTTACACGGAGAATAAGACCAGGTGTTCCTGAAGAGTAAGTGTCTTATGCTTTATCGACGACATCCGTCATGTAAATCTTGGTCTGTCCAAGGAAGTGATGCCATGTATACAAAAACTGAACCAACAGGCAAACTAAAGAGCATCAAATATGTTCAAAGATTCAACCCTCTGTTTTGTTAACATTGTTAACGAACAACATCAAAAATCATTTGGATATATTTTACTCATCACTGTAGGGACATAGAATCGATAACACAGAAGGTTGTCCTTGTTCATAAACAACTATAGAAATACCGCCAAGCCAACCAATTAAATGAAACGAGGCCAAAATAAAAAGAGAAGGATTAACACGCAGACTCCTGAAAAAATACAATTGGAAAAGAAAGAGGTGTTCCGGGAGGGTAAATCTTGGTCAATACCAACATGATATCTCACGTTCCCATTGGAGAACAAGGAAAACAACGACACTACCCGAAATACTAACGAGCACTAAACACGCCAATCCTCACACCACACAAAGAAATAAATGTATTTCGAACGAGGTCATAATGGCGACCATGAAATCATTGAAGACTCTATATTTACATGTCATTATATCATTGTTAGTTTCAGGTTTGCAGGTTTTAATGTTAAGTTTCAAAACAAAAAAACGAAAAGCTTAATTTGGAAAATTAGGAATCCTTTTATTACAATTTTGTAAATGCATTTTTTTTTTTTTTTTTGCGTCGGTCAAAGAAAACAGCATTCCAAGTAATGCCCATTGATTCTGTCTGATATAACAATCGACAACCTTGTTCGATAGGCATTCCGTAGTAAGAGTTATTGTATAGGCAGATTTCAGTACATTCCCTAACCTGAAAATGTGAACCATATTCAATATGTAACGGATCTTTCCAACACGTTGTTCATCGCCTCCTCTTTGTCTTCAAGCTGCAAATCTCGGTCGTCTTCCTGTTCGGACCTCAGCTGTTTTAGGACATGGAACCTAAAGCCACATAGGAGTACATATTAAAACAACTGAGGTCCGAAAAGGGAAAACTTTTGATCCGTGTTCTATCCACTTCAGCCATAAACAATTGCTACTTTTCATTATTGACTCATAAATGTAATAGCATGCAATGGACCATTACAGTAAAACGCATTTTACTGAACGGTAGCGTTCATGGCATTCATTTAAAGGTAATATATATCGTTAGACAGACTGACAAGTTTTAGAATAGATATATGTATATTGTGAAATTGTCAGTCATTGTAACAGAAAACGACTCGCCACAGCCACCTGATCTAGTCCGAAATGCCAAATTGAGCTGATGCAATGGCGCGACGTCAGTCAATTTTTTTATCCTCAAAATCGCTATTAACCGAATTAGTTTGAAAGCATCCTGCAGTTGAGGAAATTTTTTCTAGAAATGAATTGTCTCATCCCCTCGAGCCTGAGAGGCGGTGCCCAGTAAGGGAAATAGATCAAATTCTTTAATATCTATTTGCTTATGAGAAATGCCAGGATTATTCGTCTTAAGCATCCCTTGATGAAAGGGAATAAATATTGTATAAATGATTGGTCTCGGCCTCCTGGGAAGGAAGGGGCGAGGCCCAAAAGGGGGAAATTCAGAATTCTTCTTCGAAAAAATACCAGTTCCCTGTCCCAATTGGGTACACAGATCCATTGTAAACCGACCTGTGTCCCATCTGTTTTAGCCTACAACAGTCATGGAAGAAGCAGGAGACTATTTCGGAACACTCGGACTTCTTTCCCGCGTACTTTTTGAGGAATTTCCCTGTAGAGCATTGCCCTAGGTTTTAACATTTGAACTTAGATTATGATGATTGTGACATGTTTGTATTTTCTTGTTTTATTTTTACTCGTGTTTTTACTTTCAGGGTTTTAAACCTTCGATCTACTACCCTAAACAAAACAAGAAGGATCTCTTCACGAATCTGATGAAACAGTGTGAGGGGATGGACATGCCTTTTCTCTCCTTCTTTCCTTCCGAGGCTCATCTTATCACACAGTCCTACAACCTAGTCGTGGACGCCTTGTTCGGCTTCAGTTTCAAGGGCCCGCCCCGAGCTGACTTTGCAAACGTATTACACACCCTGTCTAAAGTGGAGATTCCTATTTGTAGCATAGACGTACCGTCTGGTAAGCTATCAGCAATTTACTTGACATTTTTCTAAAGTTGTCCTTTCGCTTGTTTCACTTGACGGTTCAGTTCTGTGTTATCCATGTATTTTACTCGTGTTCAAATTCTGTCCTCTGAGGGTTAAAATGTCCTCGTCGTTGTTTTGGTCTTTTCAGATTTAGAATTAAGCTGTTGTTATCTTCTCAGTGTGCTATGATTGGTTTTGAACTACGGATACAAAAGAATTTACACACCTTGTTATGAATCAAAATCATACAAACACACGACCTTTCTCTGTTTGGTCAATATGGCGTTGACTATCATTAACAGTACTCCAAACATCCAAACACGTACGGTTTCACTGCTGCCTCACCTCAGTGCACCGTATGACGTAATTTTCCATGTCATTGACAATCATCCGATCAAACAATCAGTTAGGCGGTGCCTCTGTCAGTAGTCAGTCTGTCTGTCAGTAGGTAGTCTGTCAGTCAGTAGGTAATCTATCAGTCAGTAGGTAGTCTGTCAGTAGGTAGTCTGTCAGTCAGTAGGTAGTCTGTCAGTCAGTAGGTAGTCTGTCAGTAGGTAGTCTGTCAGTCAGTAGGTAGTCTGTCAGTAGGTAGTCTGTCAGTCAGTAGGTAGTCTGTCAGTCAGTAGGTAGTCTGTCAGTAGGTAGTCTGTCAGTAGGTAGTCTGTCAGTCAGTAGGTAATCTATCAGTCAGTAGGTAGTCTGTCAGTCAGTAGGTAGTCTGTCAGTAGGTAGTCTATCAGTCAGTAGGTAGTCTGTCAGTAGGTAGTCTGTCAGTCAGTAGGTAGTCTGTCAGTCAGTAGGTAGTCTGTCAGTCAGTAGGTAGTCTGTCAGTAGGTAGTCTGTCAGTAGGTAGTCAGTCAGTAGGTAGTCTGTCAGTAGGTAGTCTGTCAGTAGGTAGTCTGTCAGTCAGTAGGTAGTCAGTCAGTAGGTAGTCTGTCAGTAGGTAGTCTGTCAGTCAGTAGGTAGTCTGTCAGTAGGTAGTCTGTCAGTAGGTAGTCTGTCAGTCAGTAGGTAGTCTGTCAGTCAGTAGGTAGTCTGTCAGTAGGTAGTCTGTCAGTAGGTAGTCTGTCAGTAGGTAGTCTGTCAGTAGGTAGTCTGTCAGTCAGTAGGTAGTCTGTCAGTAGGTAGTCTGTCAGTAGGTAGTCTGTCAGTAGGTAGTCTGTCAGTAGGTAGTCTGTCAGTCAGTAGGTAGTCTGTCAGTAGGTAGTCTGTCAGTCAGTAGGTAGTCTGTCAGTCAGTAGGTAGTCTGTCAGTCAGTAGGTAGTCTGTCAGTAGGTAGTCTGTCAGTAGGTAGTCTGTCTGTCAGTAGGTAGTCTGTCAGTAGGTAGTCTGTCAGTAGGTAGTCTGTCAGTCAACTGTTACTTAAATCATTAAAAGTATGTAGATACTAACATTATAAAGTATTTGTCTACAGAACTCGATCTCTGTTCATTGTCTGATGATACGTTTATATACGTTGATAGGATTGTTCAATTCTTGTGACCCGAATGTTCACGAATTCTGAACAACAAGTGTTGGTGTGGTAGGTTCCGAATAGCTTGTGTTTGTCTTCTAAATGTTTCTGTAATTGATCAGACAGTTGTTGCGCTCCTCTCTCATTCTGGCCGAACTCAATGTTATTAATCTTTTATCATTATTTTATTATAACATCTGTATAATTTCGTGATACCTCCCGATACGGCGACATCCAGAGGCTGAAATTTAGCGTCAGTAATTTGTGTCTTAATTAGATCTGTCCTGCTGAGATACCTCGCCTCGAGCTGATTTACTGGATACTGTCGCCGAAATCACGAAACACGACATTGATCAGCATTGTATGCCTGTACGCAAGGACTGGTGATTACAATATCTTCTCTATACAATCACCATACAATTAACAGATACCGAGTATAAATAGATCTTTGTCGACTGTTTGTTTCACTCCCAATGTCACCACTATCCGGAAACTCGGTAATAACCGTGTTCTATTTTAGAAAAAACGATGTTTTCCTTACAGCCCAAATGATAATGATTCCTAATACAAAGCCGTTACCGTAAGATGGCGGAGAATAAAAAGTATCACTGTTAAAATCAGGAATGTAAACCAGCCCAAACTAAATCAATCAGAGTGGTATTGACAAAGCGAGTATTCAACAGACTTTAAAGAAATTGTATAACCATATTCAATCATCTCTCAGTTTAGTCTAAAACATGAAATGATTACCACTAATATTTGTATGTTTGTAATGTGTACCTTTGTATGTTTATAGTACCTTTGTATGTCTACATAATCATTATTTTAGAATAGATGGTGATAGGCTGACTGAGACCAACACTTGACCAGGGAGATCCACTGTTTTTTTTTTGTTTTTTTTTGTTTTGTATTTTCCCCAGTGACTCCCATTATATATCTCTTGCCGTTCCCAGACTCAGTAGAGTGGTTATATAGACTAAGAAAGCTTCGCTCCTAAATACGTTATGATTTTTCTCTTAGCACGTGAAAACCCAATTTGTCAAATTGTTTCCCGGAGAATACATTTTGTCATAAACACTCGACGTTTCGCATCAGATTCTGCCAAATTCTGTTGGTTTGTAAATTAACTTACCGCTATTATAACTATTTCTGTAGATATGGCCACGTTTTTCTTAAAACACAATAATAGAACTCGTATTGCCATAAAACTATGTGGTTTTGTCCTGGACTAATTTTCACGGAGACTCCGTGGACGCGTACGAGTTACTACAGAAAATACGTGTAATGTACTTAAGTCAGATCGAGTGAACCCAATCTCCGATGACCATTCTCACAACTAACGATGTAGATATCACTATACTGCCGTCTGAACAGTTAAACTGAAAATTTTACTGACAGTGTGTGGCCATTGTCATCTGAACCAACATGTTGTTATTATGTCAGAGTTTAAACGAGGCGTAATTAATGCCCAGAGAGGCGATATACGGAGGCTTTATAACTCGTGAAAAAAAATCAGAAACGGGAAGCGGAAATTTCTCTAAAGTCGGAAAAATACAGACAAAGCACGAGTAATTATACGCTTCTTAATTACTACTGTGCACTATGTGTTGACATTTGTTTTTTACAGTGACGTAAATAATTTGCATTACGTCAGATTCGTAAATACATGTACCCATTCATGTAAATATCAATATGTTAACTTGATTCCAAAACATTTTGTACCCGCCAAAGTGATCTCCAAAGGCAATTTAACATCAATGTGGACTTGGACGTGTTTGACGCGCATAAGTAAGACTGGTAGTTCCGAGGTTGTATATCCTATTCGCGGAACATTAAATTACTAACGCTTGAAGCAGAAGACGCTTTCTGTTCCGGAACACATGTCTTAATATTCTTGTACTATCTTATTGGCCTCCGTGTAACTTTCCCTTTTAATGTTTTTGTTTCTTTGAGTTTGATTTTTGATACAGGTTCTATTGATATGTCGATACTTTCTGAACTGTTTTAATGGTTTGTCTTATTGCGCAGGGAAGTAGACTATTTCCCTAAGGGGTGATTGCGAAGACTGTAAAACGTTCAAGTCAATGTTTGATATTTATACAGCTGTAAAAAGGTAATGAAATGAATCATTGAAACTTGATGATATTTTTCAAAAAAATGTATGAAGATACATTTATGTAGTATAAATGTGACCTTTTGAGATAGATTCGTGTATTTTTCCTGAAAACAAATTAATGCAATGACTGCGCAACATATTGGGAGCAATAGTTTGCCGATCAATCACTGCTAATTAGCAAAGTAGGTCCAGGCCCCACCATATGATTGAATGGCAAGACACTGAATATTGGCTGGAACACTTGAGCGTGACATCATCGGTCAGATTGGACGCTGTTGACTTATGTTGTTGGCTATTGGAAGGTGATGGGCTCAAACACAATTTTACATGTTATCGCGTCTGTGTAACCAAATTCATTAATTAAGGTCCTTCACATCACTGGCGAAACAGCTGTATGATGTAGCATCACTGAAAAGTTCTAGAAGGACGAAACAGCTGTGTGATGTAGCATCACTGAAGAGTTCTAGAAGGACGAAACAGCTGTATGATGTAACATCACTGACGTGTCCTAGAAGGACGAAACAGCTGTATGATGCAGCATCACTGACAAGTCAGGCAAATCTCATGTCTGTTAAAAGATGTATATATTTTGATGTCCATCAAGTGTCTAAATACAGAGAAAAACTTCATTTGATCTTTAAATAACGTAAGATACTAAGTTTGAAATGACCTGCAGTATAACAATGTATAGATTTTGATAAAAACATGTCTATTATGATATAAAACATATAAAAGACATTTTAGAGGCCATTAATACGTTATACAGAAAATACTGTTCAGACGTCTCTGACTTTTTGTGTTTTTTCTCTAATCAGGAGACTTAACAATCTACTTTAGCAGTCTATAAGTCTCATTTATCAGTAGTAACGTGCCAGCTTCCACCACTTTGATCATACCATGGATCACTTCCTGAAGATTAGATTTTTGAAGTAATTTCTTCAGATATAGTTGAAACCACGACATGTTATGCCATCGTGCAGGCTCTGGTTCACCTAAAATAAATCTTAAGTATGACGCTAGTCTTCCTAACACTTGGATTTGAAAATAAATATTGGCTTTCTTTACAAAACGCTATATATGGAAACAAACTCAATAAAGAATATAGCACCATGTCAATGGAATCTGGATTTAAACATTAATATAAAGGAAGATTTACACGGAGACCCGGAAAGGAACAAGGAGAATACGACCAAGTTTCCAGAAGAGTAAGAGTCTTCTACTGTTCGACACCACGTCCATTTTAGTCAAGTAATGTCACGTTCCTAAATGAGAAGAGAGGCACTACCAGGCATGTTTCTAGAGATTTCCTTTATGTCCTCTCTGTTCTTGTTTTTGTTCATATATTATATCTAATTTAATTAAGCGTGTTCGGTTTTATTTGTGCTACTGGAAATTAATAAATACAAACATTGAATGTAGCCCG